AGACGCAGGCCTCCCGTGGCCAAAAAGCATCCAAAACTCCATCAAATTGGATGCGCAAAAGAGCTATTAAGAGGGGATAATTCTTGAGGTTCCAACTGCTGTACGAGTTACATAGAAGGCGCCTCATGCATCATCCTGGACAGCACGGAAGCCTCTCAGTGCCAATTACCATCAAGTGTTCTCCACGATCACTTTAAAAGAAGGTGGGATACATCTGGTATATTTGGTGGCCTACTGAATTTCCCTCCATATAAGGAGGCGGCTAACACCACATTCGAGGCCCTAATTACTGGAAAAGAGATTGATAAGAACATGAGAGAGATGTGTAAAACCTCTGCTCCCGGGCCAGATGGGATCACTTTGAGTCAGATTATTGCAAAAGGCCCAAAGTTTTCCCAGATGACTGAGATCTTCAACCTCTGGCTTATCACCGGTACTGTTCCAGATGCGCTGCGGGACTGCAGGACAGTCTTGATACCCGAGTCTTCGGATGCAGAGAAGCTTGGTGATATCAATAACTGGAGGCCTATTACTATTGGTTCAGTGGTGATTAGGCTGTTTTCCAGGATCGCTACTGTGAGGCTGTCCAAAGCATGTCCCATCAACCCCTGGCAACGGGGTTTCATTTGCGCATCAGGTTGTGCCGAAAACCTCAAGTTGTTACAGCTTGTGGTGGAGCAGCTAAGTGAGAGCATAAACATCTGGGGGTTGTGTTCGTGGACATTGCTAAGACATTTGATACCGTCTGTCATCAGCATATATTTCAGGGTCTGGTCCAGAGAGGGGTGGATCCACACATGATAGAGTTGGTGAGGGAAATGTATCATGATGTTAAGACGTGCATTTCCATGGGAAGAGAAAGGACAGACCCCATATACATTCAGGTGTCAAGCTCAGGTGTCAAGCAAGGCGACCCCATGTCACCTTTGCTGCTCAATTTTAGCGATGCACCACCTTCTATATAAACTCGAGAATGAAGGTGAGGTTTTCCATCATGAGGGCTGGAAATTTACGGCCATGGCATTTGCCCATGACTTGGTGCTGCTGAGTGACTCTTGGGAAGGCATGTGTCATAACATCAAAATTATGGAGGCCTTTTGCAATCTTACTGGCCTCAGTACGCAGGGGGGAAAATGTCATGGCTTTTACATCAAGCCTACAAGGGACTCGTATACTATCAATGATTGTCCCACGTGGGTGATTAATGGATCCCCCCTTAACATGATCGACCCAGGGAGCTCAGAAAGGTACATCAGCACATGGGTTGACCCCTGGACTGGCTTTGCAGATCCTAGACTATCAGAGAAGCTCATGGATTGGCTTCATCGGATTGGTCGTTCGCCCTTAAAACCTCTTCAGAAAGTCGATATACTCAGGACCTATACCATCCCGAGACTGATATATCTGGCTGACCATACCGAAGTCAAGGTGGGCCTACTTGAATCCCTTGACCAAGTAATTCGTAACACGGTTAAGGAATGGCTTCATCTTCCCCCAAGTACATGTGATGCGGTCTTGTATTCAAGTTTTAAAGATGGCGGTTTAGACCTCATCAAGTTAGCGGCGCTCATTCCAAGTATTCAGGCGCGAAGACTCCATAGATTAGCCCAGTCTTCGGATGAGACTCTTGTGAAGTATCTAAAGGAAGTATATCTGGAACGGTTATTTGAAAAATTGTGGTTGAAAGCAGGGGGGACACAAGAGTCCATCCCATCAATTTGGGAGCCTTTACCATTGGTAGAGTTGGGGGGCGACGATGGAACCTGGCTGGAATGGGAAGCACCCATCCCTAAGATTCGTTACCCAAGACCTTGTAACTGGAGGAAACGAGAATTTCATAAATGGACCCATCTGGTTGCCCAGGGCCATGGGATTGAGCATTTTGAGAATGATGAGATCAGTAATGCCTGGATAAGGCAGTTTAAGGGCATACCTCACTGTAAACTAATCACAGCCCTACAACTCAGAGCGCATGTCTACCCAACAAGAGAATTCCTGGCTAGGGGTAAGCAAGAGAATGTTGTTCAATCATGTAGATATTGTGGAGCTAGATTTGAGACCACAGCCCACATTGTCAGAAACTGTGCCATCACTCAAGATGCCAGGATTAAGAGACACAACGCCATCTGTGAGACCCTTAGCGAGGAGGCTAAGAGGGAGTGTTGGACAATTTTTGAGGAGCCACACCTGAGGGATTATGTAAATGAACTATTTAAACCGGATTTAATCTTTGTCAAAGGTTCTAAGGCGGTTGTGGTCAATGTGACTGTGAGGTATGAGCACTGTGATGTCTCATTGAGTGAGGCCGCCTTGGAGAAGACCAAAAAATATCAGCGCCTTCATACACAAATTCAACAACTGACCAATGCTGATGACATTGAATATGTTGGCTTCCCCATGGGAGCCCGTACCAAATGGTTTGGCAATAATACTGAGTTGCTGACCGCCCTTGGTCTCTCTAAAACGAGGCTAGAGAGAACCATGTGGGCCCTAGCATCCAAAGTACTCTTCACCTCCGTTGACATTGTATATATATTCGTTAGCAAAGCTAGATCAATTATATCTGTGTAAATACTTGGTAAATAAACTAGGCCTCTCCCCTCGACAGGTTCGCTGGACAGTGGAATTGGTTTTTGGGTGGGAGGGGTTCATCCGTCATAACCGCGTCTAGCCCATTTTGGGCGATAAATTCCAATTTGGTCATTCAGGTGGACGGGCCACCTTACTTAACCCGGAAAAGGAACATATACAATTTGTATGTGTTTATTAAATAGCCAAATGCCTTGTCATCTAATTAGTGATGCACATGAATGGATGAACAAGATTCGCACTGTCCCTACCTACTATCCAGTGAAACCACAGCCAAGGGAACGGGCTTGGCGGAATCAGCGGGGAAAGAAGACCCTGTTGAGTTTGACTCTAGTCTGGCGCTGTGAAGAGACATGAGAGGTGTAGAATAAGTGGGAAGCCGGGCGCACGCTCGGCGGTGCGGGGCGACCCGCCCGCCAGCATCCTGGCCATCAGTGAAATAACACTACTCTGATCGTTTTCACTACTCTGATCACTTACCTGGTGAGGCAGGGGGGGCGAGCCCCGAGGGGGGCTCTTGCTTCTGGTGCCAAGCGGCCGGCACGCGCCGGCCACGACCCGCTCTGGGGACAGCGGCAGGTGGGGAGTTTGACTGGGGCGGTACACCTGTCAAAGCGTAACACAGGTGTCCTAAGGCGAGCTCAGGAAGGACGGAAACCTCCCGTGGAGCAGAAGGGCAAAAGCTCACTTGATCTTGATTTTCAGTACGAATACAGACCAGGAAAGCGGGCCTCACGATCCTTCTGGCTTTTTTGGATTTTAAGCAGGAGGTGTCAGAAAAGTTACCACAGGAATAACTGGCTTGTGGCGGCCAAGCGTTCATAGCGACATCGCTTTTTGATCCTTCGATGTCGGCTCTTCCTATCATTGTGAAGCAGAATTCACCAAGCGTTGGATTGTTCGCCCACTAATAGGGAATCTGAGCTTGGTTTAGACTGTCATGAAACAGGTTAGTTTTACCCTTCTGATGATGTGTTGTTGCAATAGTAATCCTGGGAACCCTTGGGATGGGATAGGATGTGTTATCCCTTAGAGAAGTGAGGCCAATGGAGATCTCTCCCCTGAACACATTGCCTGCAGAACCCCTTCCAGAGCCCAGCAGAAGGCCTGACCATTGGGCTGGGATCAGTTTGGTCAGAGGGCTGACCTCCTTTGACCAGGGACACATCCTACTCTAGTGGGGGATGTTGCTGAGCAGGGCTTTGAGGGTCAGGCTGAAATGAATGTGCCAAAGGACAGTGAAGGGGCCTGGGAGGTTCCTCTCCACTCCTGGTGTGTGGCAGAAGAGTCTCACCCTCTCGTGGGTGGCTATGCTCTGGTGGGACTGAGGCACCTGTGTGGTGCCTGGGTGCTGTGGCAGCTGAGGCAGCTCCCTGGCCCAGGAGAGCCTCAGTGGGCCTGAGGGTCAGGAACCACCCAGCACTGCTGTGGGGCTCCTGGGCCAGCTGTGGGATGTGTTCTGCCCCAGAACCTGCTCAGTGCAGTCCTGGAGTTCCTTGGGGAAAGGTCCTTGTTAAATATCCTGGTTTTCTTTTTTATTTTATTTTCATATCTACTTCATGTTCAGGATATGTGGATCATGACTGTCTGGTTGGGAAAGTCCTAAACCTGATATTTTATGCAGTCGCTAAGTGTGCTGGATCCCATTCCTCTTGTCTGTGGCCATCCTTGGGAACCCTTGGGATGGGATGGGATGGGATGTGTTGTCCCTGAGAGAAGTGAGGCCAGTGGAGGTCTCTCCCCTGAGCACGTTGCCTGCAGAACCCCTTCCAGAGCACAGCAGAAGGCCTGGCCTTTGGGCTGGGATCAGTTTGGTCAGAAGGGTGACCTTCTTTGATCAGGGACACATCCTACTTTAGCAGGGGTGTTCCTCACAATTGGTAATGGTTTCAAAGACAGAGCACATCCCTTCTGGGATTTCCTTTCCTTTCTTTGAGCACTAAAGGAGGACTCTCACCCTGGGTTTAGCTACAGGGACAAAAGGCAGAAGCCTTTCTGTGCAGGTGAGTGCCAGTCCTTGCCCACACTACCTGGAAACGGAATCCTGCCAAGCAGGAAGAAGATCCAGAGGTAAGGGCGTGGTGCAGTCAGATTGAGCAGTCCCACCTGTCCATAAATTCCCATTTCTAAAGGCCTCCAGACAGTCCTTTGTTATGTTGCCCATCCCCATGCAGATGCCCAGGACCCTGGGATCACAGGGGGCACAGATGTCCCTGCAGTGGGCTTTCCCCAGCACAGGCCAGGACAGCCTGGAGGACAGGAAACCAAAAACCAACCTGTAGAAGACCCAAGAAGAGACCCTCAAAAAGAGACTTTAAAACAGAGGAGTTCATTATCCTCAGGCAGGATGAGTGGGCTCCCCTTCAAACAAGCAATGTCAGTTTCCCACTAACGCCAATCCTTTTCTACAGGATGGACAAATAAGGAGTAAATAAAAACCCACGGAATGTGACATAGATGAAGACTTCCAGGAGCCCAGTTATGAGGTGCAGAGGTTCAGGGACATCACACCATGACCAGTATGATCCAGTGAAGCCAAATTTTTTATCCCTAAAAAGACTAGATTTATAATAAGTTTCTACTGCCCACGCGTCTCTAGCTAATACATGATTGGTTAATCCTAGCTGTTTACACATCTAAATTAAAATGCTGATTGGATCATCTAATTTTTCGTGCATCTTGCTGTGGTCTGGCCCACCCACTGCTTTCTCTTTTTTCTCACTCTCCCAAGCTTGCTGACAAACTTGCTGAGTCCTGAGGACTCTTCTTCTTGTATCTTTCTCAAGGATATACTGACCCCATTTCTTAATATGTCCATTATCCATCGTTTGTGAATATGTTCATTGTCCACTAGTACAAGCAGGCTGGATTGTGCATCGGCTGAATATGGCCATTGTCTAGCAAGAACTCCTCAACCTGCAAAAAATCTTCAACACCCCAGAGCCTGACCCTGCCCCACAGCCCACCTCAGAAATGAACCACCCAGATTGGATGGGGGGTCTGGTGAAGGAGATGTGTGAGATGGGCCAGATGCTGAAGGAATACACTTCCCCAGCTTGTGAGGAGACCTCCCCCTGCCTCAAAGAGGGAGAGTCTGATGGTGCAGCAGCAGAACCCACAGATGTTACAACTGTCCAGGTTCCAGCTGAACTGCAGAGGCAGTCACAGCCAGCAGCAGTTGCCCCTGTGGAAACGAGGAGGTCTAAGATGAAATCAGAGCGCCCAGACAAGGATAAGAATGGAGGGCCCTCACAACTCACAGGGGAGCCAATGGTTGAGATCATCACTGAGTCCCTGATGTACAAAAGTCTCTGTAATCTGCACAAAGACATTGTACGACAGGGACGTGAGGCTTATACAACCTGGTTACTCTGAGTCTGGGATCTTATGGGTACAGGTGTCCAGCTGGATGGTGGTGAGGCAAGGAATTTGAGACGCTTGACCCAGCACTCAGGTATCAATCAGATTTTTGTAAGGGAGCCAGGGCTTTTAATAAGTGTCAGAGAGAGGTCTGTTCACAGGGAGAGAATGCAGGAGCAGCACCATAGAATGTGCTGGAAGACTCTTGAGGATGGGATCCAACAGCTGAGAGAAGTGGCAGTATTGGAGGCACTCTTTGGGAGGGATGGACAGCATGATAATGACCCCAACAAGGTCAGGTGCACAGGGCAAATGTTGTGGAGCCTGGCAAATCTGGGGCCATCCCAATACACTACCTTTATTGCAACAATTAATGCCAATACCAGCTGAGAGACAGTGGGTCATGGGGAGCTGTTCAAAGGGGAGACAGTGACAAGTCAGGGCAGACTTTGCTGAGCTCTGTCCAAGCCCTTTCTCCCAGCCCTGCCCCTGTTGCTCTGTGCCCCCCAGTTTTCCTTTTCTCAGAGCTCTTCCTTCAGCCCCGTGCCTGGAATTTTGCTGGGATCTGGCCCCATTGCTGTGATGAGCAGGGGCTCTGCCCATGGACACCAAGGGGTCAGCTCTGCTCTGCAGCAGTGGGGTCATGGAATAGGGACAGGGGCAAGTCCTGGGGTAGGATTCCATCAGCTCAAGCAGCTTCTGAGGCTGAGGAGCTCAGCAGCATCTCCTGTCCCAGGACTAAGGGAGGGTGATGGCCAAAGGCAGTTTGAGAGGGTTTCCTGCTGCGCCCAGGGAGAGCAGAGACAGCTGTGCAAGGCAAGAGCAGTGGCCGGAACTCAGTGAAGGGGTAGGGGAGCTGCTCTGTCACTCCATCTGTCCCCAGCTGCCCTTTTCTGCAATCCAGGGCAGTCCCTGTGTTCCCCTGGAAATCAGCCTGACGCAACTGAGAGCAGAGGGACCCACAGCAGAGCAAACTGGTTTAGCCTTTCTCAGAGTCCCAGCCCCACGCTGGCCAAGGACACTCCTGTCCCCCAGTGTCCCCTGGAGGCAGCTGACAGCTTGGATGGCATCCTGAGGACAAACCAAGGGTCCTGTCCATGGCACTGCTTGAGGAGAGTGGGCTCATTGCCAGGGTCCCAGGCTGCCCTGCCCACAGCTCCCCGGGCACAGGGAGCTGGGACACCCCATTGCTGTGCTCAGCCTGCACAGGAGGAGCCCAAGGGCTGGGCCTGGCCCTGCAGCTGGAGCTGCCACTGCAGAGAGCCCCTCAGCAATGCCAGCAGCACCTGGGCAAGGCAAGGAGAGAGAAAGAGCTGGGCCTGAGGAAAAGCCTTTCCCTGCCCAGCCCTGCCCAGCCCCTGCCAGGCAGCAGCAGGGCAGGACAGTGGCCCTCAGGCCCTGGTCAGCAGGGAATGGGCACATGGCCACAGAGATGCCCCTCATCTCTGGGGCTCCTCTGCCAGCCCAGGAGGGACTGACGTCCCTGAGCCCCCGGGCTGAGGGCTGTGCTGGCTGCGAGGGGACACAAGAGCTGTGCTGCTCAGGGTAGTGTCTGCCCTGCAGGGCAGGCCCAGCAGGTGCCACATCTGCCCTGCAGCAGGGCTGCCCTCAGAACTGCCTCCCTCCCTCCCTGCCCACGGCTCTGCTGCTGGAGCTGTCCCACCCCGAGCTGCTTCTGTGGCCCCGGGCTCCTTCCCTGCCAGAGCTGCCAGAGCCCAGCCCAGCCCCTGGGCCAGCCCTGCCCTGCAGCTGCCCGGCCCTGCAGGGATTAAAGAACAGCTTCCCCAGCCTGGGCACCAGGGAAAGGTGATGCTGCATGGATCTGGAGGCTGGGCAGGTGTGGGCTCTTGCTGAGGTTCCCAGGAAAACTCAGTGTGATGGCTGAAGAGCCTCAGCCCCTGCTCTGCCCTGCACAGCTGAGTTTCCATTGCCACCAAGCTGAGTCAGGGAAAAGTGGGAGCACAGATTCAGGAAAGCAGAGACCCCAGCAGGAAACCCCTGCCCTGAATGACCCAATGAAAAGTCCCCTCAGGAATGAGCTGGGCATGAGCTGGAGCTCTGAGCAGCCCTGGCCCACACAGCACCCTCTTCACAGCAGCAGGACCTGCCCTGGCAGGAGTCACTCTGTGCACCCACAGCTCACCTGCAGCGTCCATGGGGAGCTGCCAGGCAGGCTGAGAGCTGCCCCTGGCAGGTGGCACATGCCCTGGGCTGGCCAAGAGCCCTGAGGGCTGCAGGAGCTGCTCTGCAGGACAGCCCTGGGCAGCCCTGGCTGCAGCCCCAGCTTCACCCCCTGCAGCCGTCCCTGGCAGCAGGAGCCGTCCTGCCCTGTCCCTCTGACGGTGCCCAGGGCAACCCCGCTCTGCAGCACATCCTCCCCCAAAGCAGAAAGGGCAGCAGAGCCATCCTTACAGTCACATCAGTCCTGCCATCTCCAGCTTTAGGAGGTCCCTGCAGCCAGAAACTGTGTCAAAAACTGGGAAGATTTCTCCATGAATGAGCTCAAAATTGTCCTTCCAGTTCCTTTAAGTCTCTCTCTGCTTCACTGCTCTCAGGTACCTGCAAGCAGTGCCCTCAGCCCTGCTGGACTGAGAGAAAAGCTGCTCATCAGGAGAAATGACTTTTTGTGTTCTTCTTGGTTTCCAAGAGCTCCTGTGGCAGAAGCCCAGCCCAGCTCAGCAGCACAGACACAGCACAAGGACTTTAATGACCCTCTCAGGGCTTTGCTGCTTTTTACATAAGACTCAGTCCCAGAGAGTGTTCAAAGAACTTCTCAGGAACTAAAAATTAAATTTAAACTCCAAAGTTTCTACAAGTTTTAATGGGTCCCACTGAGGGACACAACTGAGGAAGTTCTCCAGGCAGAGCAGAACACTGGAGGCAGTGATATCTGGTGGGGACAAGCAAGGGAAAGGTGTCTCTGGTGCTGAGCAAACCTGGATGTGTTTGAGGAATGCAAAGGGCCAAGGCCTGAGCCCCAGCCCCTGGCCAGGCAGATCCTGTCCCTCCCTCCTTGCTCAGGGCTCTTCCCAGGATGGGCACTGGCATGTGGGGATGTGCTATGGCAAGGGCAGGAGCATGGGGCGGCCCCTGCCAGGCTGCTGAGCAGGGACAAGGAGGCAATGAGGCCCCAGGCCTGCAAGGGTCACTTGTCCCCTCCTGGCCCCAGGGCCAGCAGCCATGGCCAAAATGCTGCCCAAGTTGGCTCTGGCAGGGCTGTCTTTCAGCTGCTGCCCATCCCTGTGCCCTGTGCAGCCCAGGCTGTCCCACGGAGTCCTTGCCCTGCGCCTCTGTCCCTGCAGGCTGTCGGCATCCCCTGGCTGCCCCACCTGCCTGGGCCCTTCCTTTGCTGACAGCTCTGCCTCCTGCCTCCCTCTGCCTGCCCACACAAAGCCTTTGGCTCATTATCAAAAGGGTTAATTAATTTTTACTGTGCCTGTGAGCTTTTAGCACAGGAACAAGGCATGCAGGGGCTGCCTTCCCAGCAGGAATGGTTGGAAGACAAGAAGACATCTGGCTCAAGAATGCAGTGATAGAAAAAAGGACTAAATCTGGGAACGTGGGGTGGGTTTTACGGTAATGGATAAATTGTAATACACATTTGGTGACATTGGTAGAATTACATGTTCACATAATGTTAGGAGTTATCCCTTGCTAGACCTCAGGCCTGAATAAATGATGCCCTCTTAAACTGCAAATGTGGGAGATTAGGGACCGATCAGAAGATCTCGCAATGTTATGGGTAGACAGAACCCCTCCCCTTTACTGTTAAAGTTACTTAGCCCCCCATTTTGTTGGCTGTTAACCCCCGTTATATATAACCCTGTGTAACCGTTAATAAATGCCATTTGCTGTCCACCACATTGGTGTCTGTGAGTACGTGGCCCGAGCGGCAGGGGGATTGTCGCTGTGCCATTCCCGAATCAGGTCGTCACGCCTCAAGCGGAGGCAACAAAGTGGTGCCAAAACCTGGGACTTTGCCCGGGGGACGGGGATCGCCTGGTCGGGTGAACGACGGCCGCAGCAGCTGGCCCAGCGCAGCGGGGAGGATACTCCCGGACCAGCAAGAGGAATGGAGGCCCTCGCAAAGGTCATTTTTCAGATTCTCTGGCAGTGGGGTATTGACTGCAAGCCAGGGGATTTTGCCCTCATAGTATTGAGGCTACTGCGGGTTGGGGTTATTGGGCAGCCGGTGGATATTCTCCACATAGAAATGTGGTATAGGTGTAGCAAGGCCCTAGCCGAGGAGGCCATATCCTCAGGCTCGGGGCGGAATCTCAAATTATGGGGGAGAGTCGTGTGGGCTCTACGGAAAACACGGCAGGCGCAAGAAACGTGGAAAGCCGCGCAGGACTGTTGGCTAGTGGTGCCCTGGCTGGGTGCTGGGGTGACTACGCAGACTGTGGGTGATTACGATTTTGCTGAGTGCAGGGATTCGCAGCCGCGGGGACGCTCTTCGCGGCTCCCAAGCCCAGGCGCGCCGGCTGACGGAAAAGAGCAGGCGCAGTCATTTTGGGACGGGCTGTTAGAGGAAG